GTTGNAAAAGCCTTTAAAAAGAGNTAGTGATAGCGGGGTTCATGGCCTGAGTTGGTTCGCTAGCCTGTTTAGTCTTTTCACCTCTTTTAGCACGGACTTCCTCTTCACTTCGAGCAAAGTCTGTAGCGCGGAAGACAGCATCTTGGATAGTCGTTGGCGGGTTGATGGTGAGTTCTTGCCAGAATGGAGACNGGCATCGAAGTGCTCCTCTCAATGCCTCCAGTGCAGACGTGTTGCTGATTCCGTCTACCTTTGCGAGAGTGTGCTTAAACCTTGTCATGAAAGACCGCAAGCTCTCATTCTCACTCTGCTTGTTGGTCCACAACTTTCTCCAGTTTGTAGAACCACTGGAGGGCAGGCCCTTTGAGGCTTTCCACGAACAGCTTGCAGTAGCCGATGTCCTTCTCGGCTTCTTTGAAGTTTGCCCTCCCTAGGGCTACCTCGAACTCCATTAGATGATCAGCAGGGTCTGAGGTTCCTTCGTAGCTCGGAAGCTTGACCTTTCCGGGATCAGAGATTTTAGCCCCCGAGATGCTTTCAGCGAAGGGTGTGTTTCGTGCNTTCTCCAGCANGTAAGNNACCCCAGGAGCCTTCCCCGTGCTNCNGTACATCTGNAGCTTAGTAGTCCTCAGGTCAGAGACGANNTGGTCCAACTGTGCTTTTAGCGCAGCGACCTCTTCGTCGCGGGAACTTTGTGGAGCCCTGCNCTCATGCTCCCTCCTATAAGGTTCTGCCATGGTGGGAGCTCCTTCTCCATCAGCCGTTGCGCTGTCAGCAGCGTCCATTCGGACACGTCTTGGGTGAGGAGGTTGATCGTCGTCCGATATCTCCATAGCACGTTCGGGGGTTCTATCGATGTCCCGACGCGGCGGCGGTGGAGGCAAGCCTTCCGGATCCGTGCGAGCGNTCCGAGGTGGCAACGCGTTGGGCCGNTCTNNCCGACCGGTCCNAGGCGTNTTGAAGAGGCGATGTGGGTTGATCCGGGACCTCTTGCGCTTNCGTGAGAGCGACCNCAGCTCAGCCGTAGTTNCTTCATTGAGCTTCTGTTNCTCCTGCGCTCCCTTGAGGAGCGTCTCGAGCATCTGCTTTATNTCCGTTATGGCCGCTGGGTTGTTAGCGGCGTTAGGTGCAGGGTTTTCTACGGAGTTCTCATTCTCCTCGTTGTTCCTGTGAGACGAGGATCCTTCGCTGTTTCCGCTGTTATTCCCAGACATTTTCTTAAATCTTTGTAGAAACCTAGCTTGTTGTGTCAGAAATTCTCTGGTCCCCTTAGACGGCGCCAAAT